TCAGGTTTGTTTTTTTTCTTTTTTTTTTTTTTCACAAAAATCCAGATAGGCTTGTACAGTTTTGATTTTACTGTAGATAACAAGTAAATAGTTGCTGGCTTTGCTGTACAAAGCCCGGCATGTGACATAATAGAAGATGTTGCCATTAGATTGAATTAGAATCACAAGACTGTAAAAAAGGTTGAAAAGGAGATTTAATTGTGGAGTGCTAGTGGTCTTAATTATACAAATATTTGTAATTTGGATAAGAGGTATAAGGTGCTAATCTTCTATCGCTTTATGTTTAGGATCCCATATACGGAGAAATAAACTTTAACTCACAGTCTGCTCTCCCACATGCCCATACTTGTTTTTGTAAAACTGTTTGGAAAGGTGTTTGAGGTTTGTAGTGAAAGTTTTGGTAGATGTAATGGATTATATCCTCATTAGGAATCCTACCATTTTTCTTCGTGATTATTCAATTTATCTCTGTCTTTACGTCATCCTCCACGCGTAGCCACAGCTCCAGAGGATGAGAGCAGTCCACACCACCTTCTGCTTCCCCACCCTTATCCTGTGCCCACAGGAGTTCTATCGTTCATCCCCCAACCTGCTGCACCCCCTGCCCCACCTTCTCCTTCGCTCCTCGCACATGCTGCCCCACTAGTGTCTCTGCTTGGCGCTGCCTTTTCCCTGCCGGTCTGGAGAGTGCTGACTGTTGTCTTGACTTTTTTTGTTTGTTTATTTTCTTTAAACAATATTTGCAATTAATTGCTAATAGTATTGTTGTGATTGATTTTTTTTAAGTACTGCAGCAGAATCATTATTATTAGTAGCAAGCACTGTGCTAGGTTATGTCATCAGTATTTCTTATATTCCTTATTGCTCTCATAATTTATCAATTTGCCCAGCCTAAGGAGATTTTCCTTGTTGTCAAGATTTTCTTAAAAGAGTCTGTGCGTAAACTAAGATTTCCACTCAGAACTGCATTAGGAATGGACTGGATGTATCATCAGCTTCAATATTGATGTTAGAAAGGAAAAAAATCAAGTAATAGGGATTGCTCGATATCAGTGATAGTAAAAGCACACACACTATTATTCCACAGCTCAATAGCAATGTACTTTTTACATTCTTTTGCTCCTTGGGTATTAAAAAAAAAAAAAGCTATTGCAGAAAAGAATTAATTGTACTGTACTTTGCAATGGTCTGAGGAGGTAATGAGGACTTTAAACAAGGAAAGCTTGGATGGATGACTTGGCATGCTTAGAGCATTTGACTTCATAATTTAGTAGACTGTATTTTTTCTCACAATCTGTATTGAGACATATAGTGCCCTGGCATGGTCTTAGACAACACCATGTTATTGCAGGCGTTGATTTTCAAATAGTGCATAACAGATGTCCTTTTCTTTTGAGGTCACTTGAAAGACGTGTAGATGTGGCACTTAGAGACATGGTTTAGTGGGACTTGGCAGTGTTAGGTTTACAGTTGGACTTGATGATCTTAAAGGTCTTTTCCAACCTAAATGATTCTATGATTCTATGAATCCTCGTTACACTTTTTCAAGGTTCCCATCAAAATTTTTGATGTTCCCATCAAAATTTCCGCTAGGCTTTCTCAGCTATCTACATGTCCTGTGATTTTGCTGGTCATGTTCTTTTGCCTGAGGGTCCCTGGCTGGAAATGCACCCTGCGTGAATTCGTCCAGCTTGTGAATTATAGCGCAGTGTTAATGTGTGTTAATGTGTTAACGTTAATGGCTGCATCATTCCTCTCTAGAGATGACTGACTTCTGATGGTAGGTAAAACAATCGCATTTGCTGGTAAAGTTATCTGAGACCCTATATACATATTGTAAATTAGTATTTTATTAATTGGAAAGTTGTATTTTTACCAGTTTCATTAACCATGATATAAACCCTAAAATGACAGGTTGAGAGCCAGTGGACTGGCACTAGAACACAGACTAAATTAATCAACATATGTAAAGCATAATTAAAAACAAATTTATAAAAAAATTTTTAAGATGTAGTTTCTCATCATTGTGAGCTTCAGAGACTGCAGGTCTTTAAGCAATAAAAAGGGACCCTTCAATGTGATTTAATTTATTTTAGCTCCTTTTTGTAAAGAAAATCCTCAAGTGCACTGGTGTAACCATAAAAACATTTTTAAGCAAAGGGCCTATGATTGTCCAGGCCCCTCCATAAAAAGGTATCTGCAAACTTCACATACCAAAATGACAGTTGAATCCCCAAGATTTAGCCAAGACCATACCAGTTAGTCATGCTTTGCTTTCCTGGTTTGTCTTATCAGTAACTAGCCACTCCTGGTTAAGATTAGCATTTACACCTGTTTTGTCAGATGGGCAATTCAGCTTTGTGTTTTAAGGTTTTGCTCATATGGCAGCACTGTCAAATTCCTATCAGCATTGTTTTTAATCCTATTGTTTGAACCTCATGCAGAAATTGCACAGTTAATGTACAGCAGGTGGGAGGTGGAGCTGTGAGAAACTTTCCTGTCTCACCAACGAAACTGAACTGTTTAGGATTTTGTAACACAACCAAAAGTTGTGTACAAAGGTACATGAACTGAATGTCCCTTAATTTACACAGCTCCTATAGTACTGTCTACTTCTCTGCAGGATTGATAAAATCACTCTGGAATACTGAAAGCAGTTTTTGATCCCTGGAGACTGAAAGGATGTCCAAAGCTGGAGAAAGTAAAAAGGAGGGGACAAAGGGAAAAGACATATTACAAAATAAGCAACTGCAAACATTTAATTCACATGTCTCAAAAAAAGATCTTCTTGGGGTTATGTGAATAGTAAACATGTTTATACAAGATACGGGAAGAGATTTCTATTGCATAGAGAAAAGTGAGGCAGGGACTATGAATCTAAAATTAAAGATGGAAAAATACTTCTTGGACATTTAAAAGGGTGAGAGCAAGTATTGTCTTCTGCTTAGTTTATAATGTGTCCCTTTCCGTGAGTGGCTAGTAATAGATTTGGTGAAAGGGATTTGGCAAAAGAATAAACTACTTGGTGCTTATGATTAGAGGTTTAAGAAATTAAAGACACAGTGGGAATAGCAGGGAGGAATATTGTATTGATAGTGAGCATTGCCAAAATCTCATAAGGTTTCTCCCAACCCTAACATATTTTACTTTGTGAATATAATCATCTTAAAGCATTAATTCTGCCTTCCGTGCTCTTCTTATTAATTTAGGTAGCTATTGTGAGAGCTCTGTGAACGTCTGCTGAATTCCTGAAAATGTGATTCACTCCATGGAGGCACTGTGCTAATATTACATGCCCAGTGTTGGTGAAGTTTTGGCATAGAACATCTGCTGTGCTTTCTGAAGCGTGACACCCACAGATCATCTGTTTCAGCAGACCCAGATTATCACTAGTACAGTTTTTAATAAGAACCCTGTTACTGGGAAGCATCTGTAAGGTTGCTTCCTTTCTAGCTGGAAACTTGAAAAAAGTTGCTACCTCATCTGATGTGTGGAGGAATGTCATGCTACTCTCATGTGGCGTCAGGATCACTAGTTGTTGGGCTATATTCTTGTAAACGTTCAATGTATTTGCCTGTGTTTTCTGCTTAGAGTTCTGGCAAATGAATACTACAATGCAGAAGTTTGTTGTAAAGCCAAGACACAAAAGAAGTAAAAGGCAGGTATGTGCCAATATGCTTGTTCACAAGTAATATGCCATCAAGTTTGTTTTGTGTCTGCTGAATTAATTTGTCTAGATGGAGTCCTGCTGCTGCTGCTGGTTTGGCATGAGGTCTCTATATCAATACAGCTATTACGAAAAGAGGTATCTAATGTTGACAAAACATTGTTGGATTCTCTTGGACATTGCCTACCTGAAGAGTTATAAAATTGTTAAACACTGCTAAATTGCAAATGAAAAAGTAGCTAAAATATTTTCTCTCATTTTGAGTATAGAGTTTTATCAGAAACTCCCAATTAATGAAACATTTACAAATATTTTTTATGTTGCAATGGTGACAAGTAGCTACTTTATCTCACTTAACTTTGATTTAATATAAATTTTCTAAACTGAGAGTTCATTCCCTGTTTATTAAAGTGGGGGAGCCACTAAGTGCAGATCTGTTTGTCTGTACCCTGAAAAGATAGCAGCGATTCTTTGCATTTTAGGAATGGAGCTCAAATAATGGTACAGGTCAAAACAGAGCCAGGTCAGGGGGGCTGAACAGTGCAGGCAAAAATGAAATACCGAGAGCAGTGGGAGAGGAAGATGACTTTAACACCTCTACCTAATGCAAGCCTCTCAGAGGCAAAAGAGAAGTGAGAAAGGCATTGGAGAAATTCCAGAAGTCGTTCTTGAGGGTCTTACTTTATATCAGGTGGTTTGCTACCTTTCTATAAACTAGCCATTACTCTGCATTTTTAAATCATAATGATGTAATAACTCTCCTGGAAAACCCAGGAAAACAAGGACACCATGAAGAAGCACAGTCGTAAATGTTTCTAAATGCAAAGTAAGCCTAACACAGAAGCGAGTACTGCGTTCACTGTGTGAATTGAGCAGTGTGCGAATAAATAATAGAATTGTTGCAGAGATCTTTCATAAAGAATGCAGGAGAGATCCCTTTCTCTGTGGAAAAAAAAGTTTATAGCTGACACGAGCCATTTTTAGAGATACAGGCCCCACTGAGGATTCTCTTTCTTTCAAAAAAACTAAACTTGGGATTAGATGGGTTGAAAGACTTGATTTCATTGTTTAAGGTCATATAAATGTCCTGGTGGAGGTGAAAGAATTTTTTAGAATGATGCAACTAAGCACCAGATGTTTCATCAATATCTGAGACCAGAATTAAGACAATAGAAAAAACATATGCATGAGAAGTTTGGTTTCTGAAGCCATTTCTAGTTACCAGTTACACTCTCTCTGTACTCTGTTAGACTCTCTTACAGTTGTACTCTCTCCATAGGTTCGTCAGATTCCACGTAAAGTTGAAGAGGAAACAAAATACATTGAGTTAATGATTGTAAATGATCATCTAATGGTAAGACTGACACACTTCAACATCTTACAATTATTAACATCAAATTGTCTTAACTGGTCCATAAAGGGTAACAATAAAGAACAATATATGGCCAGAATAAATTCAGTATGCCCTTAAAAGAAGAGATTATGGTCTCGTTAACCATTGATGAAGTTGCTTCTGGATTTTGGCAAGGTAATTTCACCAAGAATGCAACCAGGCCTGAGTATCAGAAAGAAGGGTCATAAATTAAAACTTTGTGTCATAAAGTAACTAATGTCAGTGTGACTTAAGCTGATGATTTTCTTTCTGGCTTTCTTGAGCACTTATCTTAGTTATAGCCACTCAGCGATCAATAATGCAGTTACTGCAATTGTGCAGCAGCTGTTGACAATGGGGAGATTTTTCTGATATGTCAAAATCAATATAGAGAAAATTACTTTATTAAGCCTGTATACTTTCTCTGGCAGAACATAAATAGGGTCTTTAAGGTAGTGGAAAGAGACATAATAAAGATTAGTGTATTGAAGAAAAAACAGGCTCATTCAAGTGGGAAAAGGCACAGATTTATGTCAGTGAAGATGATTATGAATTAATGAAAGGAATATCAAAGGAAATGGTGAATTCTCCATCACTTGCAGTCTTCCAATCTAGACAGTGTATTTCTGGAAGATGTGGTGGTGTCAAACACAAACAATAGGATTCGATCTTGAAGTAACTGGATAAAGTTCAGAGGCTGGTAGTGCCCCTCCGACTGGTGACGTTAGTTGATTTTATGGTCCTTTATGGCTTTAAAATCAAAATGTGTCTATACATTTTATGTACCCTTTTTGTAATATGCAGCTTCTTTCAAGTATTACCCAAATTGGCAAAAATAGACATCAGAGTGTAAAGGAACGTGTAAATCAGCGTACTCCTCCATCAGCTGAGTTTGGTGAGCATAGCAATAAATTCTTGGATTAAAATGGACAATGCTGGATGCAGAATTCCCTAAATTGGTGTCATTGTGTTTGATCCTGAAGACCTGAAGCCACAACTTTCCCCTTGGGACCTTATCTGGGCCAATTCCCCCCAAGGACAATGTTTCCTAATTTTGGTTAATTATAGCTAGCGTGAGAGTCAGTCTACTTAGGAGTTTATTCTTTGAAGCAAATGCCAGTGAATGTCTGTGGTCAAAGAAGCCGAATAATTTCCTCCCAGGAGAAGGGAGTGTCGTATGCTCTGGGCTCCTCCCTGTCCCCACGGCCTGGGCTAGCATGCGTGTGTATTTGGATTACTCTGTATGCGTGCAGTAGATGCGGCACTCCAGATGCACTCCAGCGTGGAGCTGACACCCCACAGAGTTGGAGCCGTTTTCACCATTCACCCTCACCAGGCGCTCCCAGAGGGAGCAATGAACCTCGTGCTTCTTCCTCTGGTCTGCGGAGCCAGCTGTGTCCCTCCAGCCCCCTTGGGCCGCTCACCGCTGCAAGGGGTGCGGTGCCCTCCTGTCTGCCCCCTCGACTGCTCGTCCAGCCATTGCGTCCATTCAGGGAATAAAGCTTTTAAAACCCAAACATTGAAATAGGCTTATAAATTAGTATACTGAAAACATTTCCATAGGATGCTTAGAGAAACTGGAGGCCTAAAGTTTGAGGTTTTAGTTGCAAATAGAGACTTGAGTAGTATACTTATTTCCCTTCGTTCCTGTGCCTCATTTTCCATTTATTTTGTAGCTTTTTCATTTCATCCTTTCTACCATTTTTAGCTTCACTGTCCTGTCCTTCTGGTTTTTTTACTAAGTGTAACTAACTTCCTCATTTTTGGTGGTTTTTCCTCCATTCCTGCTTGAAAGCATGCCTTTCCCACCCCCTAGCTGCTGGGCACTTCTTCTTGCCCACGACAAGATCCTGACTTCAAGAAAATATGGACAACTTTCACTCCAAAATCAAGCGTCATGGGGCACAAGATGGTTAAACTTTTCTGAAAATCTTGGCCCTTTTGTCCTAAATTCTTCTAAGATACTTGTGACTTTCATACCCATGGTGCTCATTTATAAGTGTGTTTTTCTGCAAATAGGAGTACCTGGACAGCTATCTTCAGTGTCATCTTTATAGCACTGTATTACAGGTTTCAGTAAAGGTGCCATTGCAGTCTGATTGCTAAAGTGATTTGAACCAGTTACTGTGGCGTTATGGAGTGTGAAATTGTACGTGAAGAAATCCAGAAGACAGCTTAAGAGAGAGAACTGAAAAAAAATAGGAAGTCTGATAGATTAAAACACAGATGCAGGCACTCGGGGTAACACCTCTAAAGGAGTCTCAACTATGGAAGTTGCGTTGCTAATTTCTGTATCGGCATTTGGAATTAACTTTAAAATTGCCAATAATGAAGATAATGGAGAGAGTAACAATATGTTCCTGTTCCTATAGCATTTTTCAGTAAAGATCTTAGAGTACTTCCAAACAGGAATTAGTAGATCCTCACAACAGCTGTTGTAAAGTATATCAGTAATGTGCCTTTCTGAGCAATTTTCTACTATTGCTTATTAACATTACATTCAGAACAGGAGACCAAACCTTGCACAGGGGTTTTACTGTTGATGTAGTTGCTTTTTGCTTCATGCTTTTTTGGAAATGGAGCTTATTTTTCTGAAGTCTGTGTACGTAACTTGTCTGTGTTTGTTTCGCAGTGTAAAAAGCACCGCTTGTCAGTCGGCCATACAAACAGCTATGCTAAATCGGTTGTAAACATGGCAGATTTAGTAAGTATCACTCAACTAAATGTTCTTTTATGTGTGAGATGAGTTACACGGTTCTCCTGCCGATAGATGCAGGAGTTGTCAATTCATGGTATACCTAATAATAACATATGTGAAGATCACAAATTTTCATCTAGAACCACAGTCAACTGTCTATAAAGCCTTTGTCTAACATAAAGCATTACAGGTTTTTTGTGGCTTCAAACATTTAAGTATCCTGCTGGATCAGTCCCTTGAGTCTGAGTTTTAAAGAGCACCTTAGATATGACAGTTTTTAACACAGGATCCCTATGTTGACAACCTGAAACTCAAAGGACAATCTGAAATTAGAATGCACTAAAATTTTTCCAGAAAAAGTGCATTTGAGTAAATGAGTTAGAATAGGGACATACAGGTGGATTATGTGGATTATATCTGTGACACTAAATTGGATGAGCTGCTGGCTCTTGCAGCTCACGCCAGAAAAGTATTATTAGCAAAAGAAAAATGCGGTTCCCACTCTTGAAAGTATTTGGTGTGGAGTATTAACCCCCAGCATTGAAAGGATGGCCCTTTTTTCGTGATTCAGCTAGCATGAGGTTAAATACCCCTGTAGGAGTGCATAACAGTGAAAATGGTAGTTTTATAGATCGCTATTTGGTATAAGAGAGCCCTCGTGTATCACTGGGGTGAGCTGAACGTTATGAAAGACCCATTAATTCCAAATCTTTGAACTATTTCGAATGGTTCTGTAGTAATTTTTCAAAAATCCCATCTCCCTTCTATGCACCTCTGCCTGTGTAGGACCTGCGAGGGATCTTTTTGCAGGCTGAGAGAGTTGATTGAAGAATTAGGCCTAAAATTTAGCTTTTACTTTGTTTTCATGTTTGTTTATTGGTTTTAAGGAAGATAAAATCACCTGGGAGAACCTAAAGTGTGCTAGAACAAGCTAAATATTTACTTATGTAAAAATGCAAGTTATTACAAAAAAGGGATAAAACTCACTTTTATTCTATTTGACATAATATATTTGTTCATTCTGTTAATGTACTAGATATATAAAGAACAACTTAACACCAGGATAGTATTGGTTGCCATGGAAACCTGGGCTACTGATAACAAGTTCACCATATCTGAAAACCCCTTGGTGACCCTACGTGAGTTTATGAAATATAGGAGGGATTTTATCAGAGAGAAAAGTGACGCTGTTCACCTTTTTTCGTACGTAACCTCGTGTGATGTTTTATTACTGGGTTTTTTCCTTTCCTTGGGGGTTGCTTATCACAAGTGGCTGATGCGTCTCCTTTCTGTTGTGTGTGTAATCCACAATAATTCAGAAAATAATATTTCTGATGGGGAGGTGGGAAAAAGTTAATGCACAAACTGCCTGCCAGTGCAACTAGAGGTTTGACTCTCATTTTAGTTTTAACGTACTAAGCCCGAGCTGCATGCGCATGCATCCTTGGTTATTTTGTGCAATTACCTACTCTGCAAGCGCAGCTGCCTGGAAGGTGATGCACGGTTCCACCTCGGAGGTTGGCTTCTTTGGCAATAGAGCATGGACGACAGCCCTGTTATATTATTTAAAAGCAGAACATTGGTTTCGAAACCAATGAGGTTTCCTGCTTAAAAAGCACTATGGCCTGCTTTACTTTGTTGAATGACCTGCATGCTGCAGGATTACTGAAGTGTTTCAGATCCTCAAAACAGTTTGTTCTCCAGAGAGACGTGCTATAAGAATAAGCTGGGAGGAATGTTATTTTCTCTAAATCTATTAATTGTTTTGGAAATAAGATTGATATAATGAAATATATCTACAAAAATAGAGGAGAGGTTCATGGCTGAGATTTTTGATCCACACGAGACAGGCCAGGTGAATTGCTCTGTTGGAGTCCTTATCCCTCTCTGCTGACTGTTGTAGGAGCCTATATGAATAAACTTAACCTAAACACCGCACTTTCACATGACTCTGGTAGGGTGCCAGGATACCCAGCCCCAGTATCCACCCTCCCAGAATTTTTGCATGTGCTTAATTACTGTCATCGACTTCTGCCATGAAAAGAGCTAGCAAGATCTGCAAGTGGTGCTTGCAGATTTTGGTTTCTCTGTGTCTCAGTTCTTCATCTGTAAAATGGGAATCAGGTTTTCTCACATCCTTTGTGTATCTTCTCTGGTGATATTGTAAGATCTTTGGGGGAAGTCTTGTTCTTATGAATGCTTGTGGATTGGCTAGGACAAAGAGGGCCCTATTTGCCCTGTGACTGGGACTCTGGATACCACTGTAATGCTAATTGCAGTGCTGTCCGTAACACCACCACTCATGTTTGAGGTACTGCATTCATAGACTGTTTAGAAATAACAGTTTCTGAAATTGTGTCTGTGAGTGAGACACGGCTAAGTTGGGAGGTGAGGCTGGCTGGTATGATGGTACGTGGGTTACAAATCAACTTCTGCCTTCAGCACAGTTAGCCCATTGTGTTGTTTCTTGATGTTTTTCTGTTTTCCTTTGAAAAAAAAAATTACCGCAGCTCGGATGGATCAGTACTCTGAAGTAGAGCAGAGTATATTTTGTCTCCAGTAACTGGCCGTCATTCAGGCTGACATGGTCAGCACCAAAGAGATGATTAGATTTAGGCTCAGAGTGTATCTGTCCCTTGGATGGGATCAACTGCAGTTCCAGGAAGTTTTCACCTACCTCTGCATCAGGGACCCACTAACGCGTCTCCCTTTGAGTTTTGCTATATCAGCATTGCCCAGCTAGACATGTGTCTTTTTCCTAGTCACCCATGCGTTGGCAGCGTGGTGGCCTCTCCTGTGCTCTGTCTGTAGCACATGCTAGCGGAAGTCACTTGCTGCAGTAGTATGTCAGCGAACAAAAGGCTGGTGAGATTCAGGCGGTTTGGCAAAACAGTCCCCTTATGCTTTCTTATATTAGGTAGTCTGAGAAGGAGGAGGGAAGATGGTATAACTTTTCTGGAGGTAATTTGTCATGTGAGGTTTGTGAGTGGTTATCCGTTTTTCCCATTTTGTTTTTGCATAGTTTGCGGCATAGTGGTGGCAGCCAGCATTTGCAAATGCCAGTTTCTCATTTGAAAATTAGAAGGGTAAATACTGGGATGGATAGGTGCAAAACTCATGGGCTGAGCAGGGTAAACTTTCTTTTCTTTTCCTTTTTGTCAAAGGGGGAGTCGATTTCAGAGCAGTCGGAGTGGTGTAGCCCATACTGGTGGAATCTGCTCCTTGCTTAAAGGCGGAGGTGTGAATGAGGTAGGTGGGGATACTGGTATGAGCAAAAAGTGGTGGAAATTTATCTGCACAGAATTTATCAGCGCAGACGTGTTCCTCAAAATATCTTGCTGCTGCTTTGCTGATGCAGAGTTTTAGTGCAGCTCTGTAGAAGGGATGTCTCAATGAAGAGTGATGAGTGAATAAAGTCAGATATGGATTCGGCTACACTTTTCAGCAGATTCTGCAATATCCTGTCATTCACACTTGCAGCCAGAATGGCAAGAAGGAAACAGACTTTCTCTTACTTAACTTGTCCATAAGCCAGCCAGTTTTCCTCACTTCTCCATTATCTAGCTGCTCTGAAGTAAGAACTCTTAACGCTGTGAATCTGATTTTGCCTTTTATTGCCTTGAAATGAGAAAAGCTTCATTTGTATCCGAGATACCTGTATGTAACTGATTACTCTTCCTACCTTGCTTGTTTCTTTCAGTTTGGAAAGCCAGACTTAATGGCAGTTACTCTGGCACAGACCTTGGCCCAAAATATTGGCATTTTCTCAGACAGAAGAAAACTTCTGAGTGGTAAGTTTGTTTGCTTTTTCAGTCTGTCTCAAGAGAAAATCTTAAAAGGTGGAGGATCTTATCAGTGTCCCTCTGATATGTATTTTTTCCCCATGTTGCTCACAATGTTGGAATATTTGTATTTTTCGTGTAATAACATGAAGAGAGACTGACATGTCATTAATTTTCCTCTATTTAAATGCTGTGATATCCCCCTGCCCATAACTGCTGGCAGCACTGGTGTCACCATTTCATTAAAAATAAATCATAAAGGTGTCTGCCAATTCCATTCATTTCAGGGAGATCGATGTCACACCCATGGACTGAATGGCTGCCATCTTATGGCGCAAAGGCAGAAACATGCATTAGACCTGGGGATGATGAGGAACCACCTCAGTCCTGTTACACAGGATGGCTTTGACAACATAGCTTTTTCCCTGTTTGCCTTGATTGAACTCCCTTGTAGATTACCCAAATCTCCCGTATTTGCAACGCTACTGCTACCATTTCTCTGCTGTAACCTTGGTATTCAACTTCTTAGCAACCCCTATTTATCTGCAATGCCTTAATTCAGATCTCCGTCCCTCGCCCTCCCCAACAAGCACCTCACCCTCCCTGCTTCCATGTTACACGAAGTCCCAGGACATGGAGGACAATGGGTGATTAAAATAATAATACAATTTTGAAACTATTTAGATGATGAATTGGAGTGCTTAGTTACTGGATCATGCGTACTTATGTGACTTACATATAAAAATAATAAATTACTATATTGAGTAATAGAACTCTGCTTAGGTGAATTTTGTTTTCAGGCATTGTAAAGACAGTATATAATGCAGAGATACATCTGCATGTAAAGGTTTTTGCAGTTTATGTAATTTTATTTTCAAAAATAATCAGAAATGTAGGATGGATGCTCTATACTACCAACATGTTCAGTATTAATTTTGCAGCTGCATATTATTAACCTGATATAGGGGCAGGGTAAAAGTGAAGATGATAGTAGTGGTGATTCCCTTTATTATGGCTGAGCAGAGGGGCAGGACACGGTTTTGGTGGGCAAGGAGGAGAATGCAACTGTTGGGCAGAGCCTCGTTTCCTTTTTAATTGTAGTTTTAAAATGGAAGCAATAAACTGATGTTCATGTATTACAGTAAGGCAAATTGCAGAAAGAGAAAGGTGAAAGTATATGTGCAAAGCATATGTACAGAAATAGACACAAGACACAGCTTTGAAAGCGGAGGGCTGAGAACAGAGCGAAGCAATCCCAGGCAGGCTGGCAGGGCAGAAGAGAGGGCTGCCCTCTGCCTGCCGGGGAGTCGCGTGGGAAAGGGAGGGAGAGCGGAGGAAGAAGCTGCTAGATCCTGCTGTACTGGCTTGTGTTTACAGACCATTTTATGCATTTTTGTGTGCATTATTGTTTGGGGTTTTTTTCAAGCGAAGATTTCCCCAGTCACATTAGTAAGTAGTAGAAGAGAACTAAAAAATTAGAAGAAGGGTTAAAATGATTTATTTTTTTACTCTGAAAATTTGGGAATCAAATATCACGACACGGGAGAAGGCAGGAGAGCTGACTCATGATTTGCAAGTGATGGAGGCTGACACTGCAGTTTCCCCTAACTTCACTTTAAGAGAAGGAAAGAAAACCAGGACGTATTTTCAAAGCTCAGGATTGCATAGAGTCATGTATAGTTTTTGAAAGAAGGTTTGTCAGCATGCATTGATACACTTAAACTAAGGTGTGCAATAAACCAGCAAATTATTTTTTTCAATTTGTATTTAAATATGAAATGGAATTGACTACAGTGTGGTTTTTGTGATAAGAAATGTATTATTTTGGACTCACAAGACTCAAGATGTAAATTTTTTTTTTTTGTTGTTGTCAGGTGAGTGTAAGTGTGAGGACACGTGGTCCGGATGCATAATGGGAGACACGGGGTAAGGCATTTCACTAGAGGAAAGTCATGTCCTTCGTACAATGACATAAAGGAAAGGTGTGAAAATGTTTGCCTTTTGTGGTTCAGCAGAATATTTTCTGTGAATCATTTTTCAGAAAGTAAGGTATTAGCTGTACAACATATGTAGAAAAGACACTTTCAAAGAAATGTGTGAATAAGTGAGTTAACGAGAGGATATGTGAGGATTTTTAGTGACTGCTGGTTTAACTCACAAAGCAGAGGGCTCAACAGCCAAGCCAGGTCATTGCAGAGAAGCAGAAGCGTGCTCAGCTTCTTTTCTCCTGCGAGTTTGCTTTTAAGGTGTGGGAACAATGACACATGCTAATTCTTGAAATACTATTGTCAAATTGCTTAAGTATGTCTCATTTTCAGTGTTTCTGTTGGAATCTTTCATCTGTATCTATTATTTTTTTATCCTCCAGTTTGTGTGATAATGTTAGAAAAACTGCTCCCATTGGAGGTTGAATACGCTTATGCCCACATATAATGCCACCGGAGAGACTTTATCTGAAGACTAGTGAATCAGCAAATTTTTGCTGCTAGATGAAATTTGATGCTAACGTGTGTATTCAGACCTTAATTCTTCATATTACAGGCCTGTTTTTTGTCATGTATATGAATTAAACTATAGTCTAGTTTTAGATATAGACAGTGCTTTTTAATTTCAAACTGACCTGCAAATTTTCACAATAGCTTTGTGGTCAGAACAATTTTGAACAAAGAAGCATATTTCATTGAAAGCTCTTTGGAAGTGTGAATGTGTGCCTTTTTCACCTTGTCTACCTAAAAATCATACTAGGTATGTGATTCCTTATCTAATGGTCTTTAAATTCTTTATCTGAAATCCAAACCTTTCAAATAATTAGGTACACAAAAAAAGCTTGTATTTACATAGCTTATTGATGAAGGATGGTGAATCCCACATTCTCTGTAGTCTTTAGACCTAAATCATAAACACTAGAGGTGGAAAAGATCAATTATGGTTTGCAAGCCATCACTCCTGGCAATGCAGGATTATTTTGTATAGCACTTCTGCTAATATTTTTTTATCCAGTGATGAGCTGATACGGGAAAGCCCTTGAGACTCCAAAATCTGCATGAAGCATAAGTACTTTCACGACTAAGGACCTAAATATAAAGATCACTTAAGTTACTTTGGGAAAAATTCTTTCCCAGTGGAAAGGATCCATGCAAAGATTCTCTGCATCATAATTGTTTTTAGGTGGTGCACTGTGCCTTAGGTTGGCACTCTGTGCTCGAATGAAATGGTTGGACTCGATGATCTTAGAGGTCTTTTCCAACCTCAATGATTCTATGATTCTATGATTCTTTGAAATGTATTCAGTGGGGCACATGAGGGAGGGAAGCCGAAATGTTAGCTGATGTTTGTTAGAAGCATGTTTTAAAATGGCATGACTCTATTATATAAAAATTCTGTGGGCCAGGAGAGCAATTTCATCTAAGAGGGAAATGAACAATTGAGGGAATATTCATTCCATCTTCATCTAAGAGGGAAATTCATTCTTCATCTAAGAGGGAAATGAACAAATGAGCAATTTTTGTCTTCTGCGGTAAGTACGGGAAGAAATAAACGTATTTCTGAGATCAGGCCTGTTAGTGGAACAGGTCATGTTTGTGAAAATTACACACTGTGTGGTAAGATTTGTGGTATTTGGCATGAAATAACTTAGTGAAATGTTTTAGACCTCTCACTTTCCATTGCTGAAAGTTCTTTGTCATTTACTAAAATGACTTACAAATTAGATAGAGTTACAAGCAGAGAGTCACTCTGATTCTGAACAGTGTAATGTTGTACTTTTTCTAAAGTATAACATTATATTTCTCCTCCTATTTTGAAAAAAGAAAATACATTGTAAAAAGCACTATAGAAAGTAATCCTGCTACCTTTTTTCTGTGCAGGTATTATCTTCCAAGCAAGTTCTCCAAATGTGATATTGAAGAGTATCATGAATTTTTAAACAATGGAGGTGGAGCCTGCCTTTTTAATAAACCAACCAAAGTAAGCATTACCTTATTATTGAGTATTGTTTCTATTCTATTTCTAATTTAGATGAAACCAAGAAGAATGAAAATGATAATGTTAGGAAAAAACCCACCTGTAATTTTGATATTTCTGGTTTTCTCTAAGTTCTGAATTTTCTGGTGACATAGGGCTCACAAGCCCTGGTCCTCATGGGGGACTTCAACCACCCCAACATGTGTTGGAGGGACAACACGGCAG